CCTGAGGTGATCCTGCAGTGCAAAGCTAGTGAAAGGAGCTCGTGAGTAGAGCTCTACCATTTGAGTCAGAAGCATCTTTTTTGATGCCGTGACCGAGAAGTTATATGGCCTATCGTGATCAGGCGGGTATTCGAAAACAAATTGATTGCCCAACAAACATAGGTCGCAGATAGAGATGATAGATTGCTTGGCTGGCCCCATGATTGTTTTTACTGCTTTGTCGAATACGCACTGTGGCAGACATGAAGTGCGCAACTCGCTGAGTACGAGACCGGGGCTTGAAGCAAAGTAGTCTTATGGCAGGAAAAGCCAATGGCCATATATATCGGAGTCACAGTTAGAAGCTGTGTTCAAAGGACCATTCTCGAAGGTACGTGTAGGTCAAGTTTGCATTTTCCAGAGTTTACTTGCAACCAGGCCGCCGACACGCTGAAGTTGGGACTACACGATCAGCTTCCTCAGTTCAGAAGGCAGGGCATCCAGCATTGAGGCGCGTTACTGGTATACCACACTCGAATCGATCAGGCAGGAGACCAAAATAATCAGATGGTAATGTGTACGACATTGTAATAGTCCTAAAGCGAGGCGGCAGCCATGAATAGATGGGGAGAGGTGTCACGGCAAGGCTGAAACGGCAACGACTGCCTCCAGCCTCGGCTACCGAGCTAAGGCTACCAGCGGGTTTGAGCTCAAGCTTCTTCAGATATCCTGTGCTCCCCCCCAGCACTCAATTGAACTCGTCTTTCAACATTCTCCACTGCTCCAATATGCCGTTCCTGTTGCGACCGAGCTCGAGGCTCTTCGTCCGCCCGATTCAGCGCTGCGCATACTCAAGCGCGCAATCGCCAGTTCTAAATGTTATAAACTATCCTGCGCCCCATTCTGGCAACATTCGAATTCTCTCGCTGAATCGACCTGCCGCCCGCAACGCGATCTCAAGACAATTACTTTCAGAGCTCAGCCAGCAAATCACCAGCATACACAATGAGGGACAGACCGGAACAACAAGAGCACTCATCTTGGCGAGTGAAGTCGACACAAGTTTCTGTGCAGGCGCAGACTTGAAGGAAAGGGCAACCTTCACACAAAAAGAGTAAGCTCAATTACGACTGCCCATACAAAGCTTTGAAGCTAACATCTAGCTCCAGCACCTCGAACTTCCTCACCTCTCTCCGCGGTACCCTAACCTCGATCCAAAACCTCCCCATCCCCACAATATCCGCCCTCGCCGCGCCCGCATTTGGTGGTGGCCTCGAACTTGCGCTAGCAACGCACATGCGCGTCTTCGCATCGACCACGACTGTCGCCCTCCCGGAGACACGACTCGCCATTATTCCCGGCGCAGGAGGCACATACCGTCTTCCCGCGCTGATCGGTCTCGCTCGCGCACGCGACATGATTCTCACAGGGCGGAGGGTCAGCGCGCCCGAAGCGTACTTCCTGGGTCTATGCGACCGACTGGTGGAGATCACGCCGGAGGAGCAAGGGCAGGAGGGTGCAGCGAGGAAGAAGGTGCTTAACGAAGCAGTCCAGCTTGCGATTACGATATGTGAAGGAGGGCCCATTGCGATCAAGGCTGCGCTTGCGGCGGTGGAGGGATGTGCGTTGGGTGAGAAGGCGGAAAATGCGGCGTACGAGTTGGTGGTCAAGACCAAGGATCGCGATGAGGCTTTGGCTGCATTCAGAGAGAAGAGGAAAGCCGTTTTCAAGGGCGAGTAAGCTTGAAAGCATGTTGTTGTTGGCATTCGTAGCACGCGAAAGGTGTGCTGCTCTATAGAAATCCTGGCGTGCAAGCCTGACTAGGCCATTTCCAATGCCATTGGCTTGGCTTTTGAACCCCTCAAATACAACAATAGCAAGGCCAGGATCTGAAGTTCTAAAGCTCAGGCTTCGACAAGCTGCAGGAGCCATGTACTCAGGGACCTCAGCAGAGACAAACAGGCCACTTAATTGTTCAAACTAGACTGCTCAGATCCACTAAGCTTGAGCTAAGTATCAATTGAGATATTACGTCTCTACATCTTACTCTTAATATCCTCCAACAGCTTCTTCAGCTCCGTCTGGTCACCCTTCTGCGTCGGCCACTCAATACCCAGCCCCTCCTTCTGATTCGGCTTGGGGATCAAGTGGAAGTGCACATGGTCGACCTCCTGGTGCGCAATCCGCCCGTTGTTCTGCAGGATGTTGTAGTCTTCCACGCCCTGCGCAATGGCAATCTTCTTCGTCACCGTGAGGACCTCGGACAGCTGGTCATCGGGGATGTCGTGCAGCTTGGCGCCATGGTGCTTGGGGATGATGAGCTGTAGTTGTTAGTTAGCTGGATGTTTGACTATGGGTGAAAGTAAAGCAGAAGGAGCTGCGTACAGAATGTCCTCGACTCAGCGGCCCAATGTCGAGGAATGCGAGCGTCTTCTCGCTCTCGAAGATCTTCAGCGACGGGATCTCTCCTGGTCACGTGTCAGGTACGAGTAGGACAACAAGGATGGCTGGTCTGTACCCTTGATGATCTTACAGAAAATGCAGGCGGCCATTGTGGTGCTCAATGTCGTGTTGGGTGTGACGTGTTGGTGGAGGTTCGGCGCTGCGGACCTGAGCTACTTACGAACGTTGACCCGAGCTTCATCTTGGTGGGGCAAGGCGGGGTAGTAGCTTGGACTCCGAATGGCAATATTGAAATGCTAACTCGAACTTTGATTCTGATAATGTGAGCCTTTCTATATAGCTCTCCGTCCTGGCTTTGTCTTGTTACGAAGAGTTCGCCCACTTCCACGCATCGCATTCGAAGTTGGCGTATGTTCTGAACTATGTCCAATGTCAGCCAACACTCGCACCAATGACTGACAGATGCTTACCTCGTTGCTCAATCCCTTTGCATGCTTGATATCGTAGTCTGTGGTCTTGACACCAGCCTTTCCGTACAGCTTGCCAGTGATGATGCTTTCCATACGCTCTCCAGTGCACGCAATGATTCGCACAGATTCAGGAGTCCACCCCTTAGCTAGCCACCGCACAGTCAATGTTGCTGTGTTTCGTCAGTTGAATTCGATCGTCTTAAACACATGGTTCCCCTACCTTTTGTCTGGCAATCGTCACTCAGAAAAGGTGGGTCCACAATGATGCGGTCGAACGAGCCCTTCAATTCGGCGGGTAGTTGTATCGCCTTCTCAAAGTCGTAATGAACAAACTCCTTGAATACTCCAAATCGTTCATCAATCTCGAGTAGCTTGATCTGCGGTCTGCACTTGTACTCTCCAGACGCCTGTGCTCGAATTAGCGTTGTCATGCAACTTCAAGCCAAACAACACACCATCAAGTTCTTCAGCTGAATGAATGCACTGGGAGCCGAAACCACCGCAATTCTCGTCTCATCTGTCGCGCCATCCAAGAGCTGGCGTGCGAGAACCGTGGCAGTCTCGTCGCTGTACCAAAACTGGCTCACGTTCCAGTCTTCGGTGAACGCGTCCATGGACAGTTTCCCGTCGAAGTCATCTTCAGCCTGCGACTTGAGCGTTTCGAACTGCTTTAACCTGGCATCTCGCTCGCCGTAAAATTCTTTCAGCGCGTCGAGAGCCCCGCCAGAAAGCTGTCTTCGTTGCTTAGCAGGCGGAAACTTTCAAGTAGGACTAACGTACGGCATTTCATCGTCAGAGTCGTCGATTGGCATCTTGAGATTGGTAAGATGGCTTTATGTGGTGTTCCTGAAAGGTCATAGTCTACATTTTCGTCATTTGTCGTGGAAGCACGCTAAGATAAGCGCATGCCTCGGTAACGATTGCGAGGAGTTGTAAGACAGGATGAGGTGAACATGTCCCCGCGGCTGCGGTATCTTGTTCGCTTCACATCGCGCAGATTGTATTCGAATATGTCTGATCCTTTGGTACCTCTTCCTGAGGTAGAGAAACTCAGTGATCGGGTCATTCGAGTTCTCGGTGGTAATCCTTCAAAGGTGAGCAAACAACATGCTTGCAATGGGGTGCCAAAGCGCTGACATCCATGGATACGCCCAGTTCACATTACAAGGTCCGCGATATGCTATCCCTTTTCTGCGACCCACTGACGGTGCAAGTAGGCACGAACACATACATTGTCGGTACCGGCGCAAAGCGGTTATTGATAGACACTGGCGAAGGCAAGGAGCAATGGATACAGTCACTCAAATCAACGCTTGCGAAGCAAAACGTAACAATCGACAAGGCGCTCTTGTCGCACTGGCACCACGATCACATCCAGGGTGTACCTGATCTACTCGAACATCTTCCAAATACCAAAGTATACAAAAACGACTCAGATGGCGAATGGCTCGACATAGCCGACGGGCAGGTGTTCGAAACCGAAGGCGCAACGCTCCGGGCTTTCCACTGTCCTGGCCACACGACAGATCACATGGCCTTCATACTGGAAGAAGAGGATGCAATGTTCACAGCCGACAACGTGCTCGGTCAAGGCACGGCTGTATTCGAAGACCTCGCGACGTACATGAAGAGCTTAGACAGCATGTCCAAGCAGTTCAAAGGTCGCGCATACCCCGGTCACGGACCCGTCATTGGCGATGGTCCGGCAAAGATCAGTGAGTACATCAAGCACAGGAAACAGCGCGAGCAGCAAGTGCTCGATGTGCTTGCGCAGGACAAGACTGACGGATGGACGTCGATGGACATTGTGAAAATCATCTACAAGGACTATCCACAGGGCTTGTGGGAGCCAGCTGAGAAGGGGATCCTCCAGATCCTGAACAAGCTGAAGGGGGAGGGAAAGGTGGTTCACGATGATAAGAAGGGAACTTGGTCGTTGAGTGAGAAGTCTAGTCTTTAGGCAACCAATGAAGCTTGACGTGCGTATGTCGCCACTTCAGACCTCGATCTACCGTGCCCCGCACTCAGATGCGCAGTTTGACTTGGCTGCCGTGGGCTTTACATGCGCAATACGGAATATAAGATAGTTAACGCAGACATTTTTATGAATTATGCAACCATGACGCCCTTGGACGTCCCAAAGACAATGTGCCAGAGTGGTTAATGGGTTAGACTTGAATAGTTTTGTATCCAGTTTTGGATACAATACGCTATATTCAGTCATCTAATGACTTCGGTCGCGCAGGTTCGAACCCTGTAAGTACATTTATTCACGTTATCTGTTTCTATCGTCTAACAACTGTAAGGTCATTGTCGTAACCACACATCTCTTCACTTTTTGCTCATTGAGTGGATCCATGACTCTGTCGTTGTTTTTGCTTGGATAGTAGTATGATGAAAGCTCAGCGATCGCCTGATTATCTAGGTCCTAAGATCGAACCAGAATGGTCTCGTTGGCTGGCATTTTGAATTTACAGACAGATCACTGTAGAGCTCTTCGTAGGCTTTCAGCAACGGCCTGAAATCAATGAGTGAACTGGATGTCTCTTAGATACCATCTCAAGGAAAAGATGATATACCAATTGCTGTTCTCTGCAAAAGTATTCATACGCTCATAATTACAACTTCGCCTTCACCGACCCAACGCCAGCTTTGACCTGCACCTTGCCCGCGCTATCAGTATCCACCATGACCACAACACCTTCCTGTGCAAGCTTGCCCGGCTGCAAGATCACCTCCTGACAATCCTCGATCCCCACCTCGTTCGCGAACTGCACAACAACGAAATCAACGGGTCGATCTCCAATGACAATCATGGGCGCGTGCCATGTTCCTGCCCCATAGGTCACAGCTTGACTGCCTGTAGCTACAAAAGCACGGAGATTTTTGAGGTCTGGTAGTCCAGGGCCTTTGGGACGCGCGGAAGGATGCAGCTTCTCGAATTGTGAGGGTGGCGGGATGGCTTCGGTAGAGTACGGTGCTGGTCGCGCTCTCGCAAATATGTCTCTGAAACTCTTCTTTCTTTCAGTTACGGGTGTGGGATAGGGGGGCGGTCGGCCAATGTGTCGTTTTGATGCGCTGGCAGGTAGTGTTGGTGCGACAATGACTAGGTATTGTGTGTGTTTTTCTTGCTGTGAAAGACCGATTGGAATGAACGTTTGCGTGGTGAAGGGATGTCGTTCGAGAATTGTCACGTCTAGCAATTGTCTCTTATAATTTCCGTTTCCGTCCTCGTCCTCGTCCAGGTCCAGGTCGCCCCATGAGCTGGGTATGCTCTCACTGGGTTCATTGCTCCTTAGATTTCGCGGTGAGCACACGAACATGTTCATGACCGCTTTCGCAGGCTTCTTAGACGGGGCTAGGCTGTAAAGGTTCGACATGTGTGTGACATCCAGATACTTTGTCGCCGAACCTTGATTGGCCTGGATATGTTTGGGCGGCGGTACGCGTTGCGGTATCGGTAGCTTGGAGCTTGGAGATGTTGCGGGGTTCTCGATTACGGTGCCAAACTGTGAGAAGGCAGTAGGTGTTAGAAGCTCCATAGGTATCCGTATAGACGGACATGGCATAGAGGTAGGCATCTTTGCGGTCCTTGGAAAATTCACATGGGCGGTGGAGGGAAATAGAGAAGTACACAATGGGGCTGGGGAAGATGGAGTTCGGAAGCTTGTGATAGCATCAGCGGCTGCGGCCGACACGCTAAGATAGCGATAGCGGGCTGGAATTTGAACATTTCGACCGATCAGCTATATCATGCTGATATTGAAATATCCAGTGTGGTCGTTGCCGTGTTTTGCATTTGCAAGACGCTCAGCAGGAGCAGAAGCCGGAGCGTTCACCTTTTGATGCAGTGGTGCGTGATTAGTGGCTGCACATGCATGAGTACCCAGTACCACAGAAAGAGCGGAATATCATGCCGGGCCGACGCCCTTAGCGTGACAGCCTCGTGCCTGTCGAATTGTTTGCATTCACGCTCGATGACTGTCACGAACATCTCGCCAGACCTCCGCTGCGACGTCGACAAGCCCCGCGCCCCTTTGCCGCTGCGTGGTCGTCCCCCCAAGTCTGCCCTTGGCCGTACGAAGTAATCTAGCAAGCCTCCGACATACGTCACTCGCGCACACGCGAACGTGTCTCAGTCTTTCTTCCTTAGCCTTTCTCACCGCCAACGCAACCCCCTCGCTGCAAAGCCAGACTCGCGACCACCAGCACCTTGCCTGCCACCATCTCTGTACCATCTACTGTGACTTTGACTAGTCATGGCGGCTCCCACACAGTTGGCTTGTATGTTGTGCACCGATGACAGATTCAGACCCACGCTAATGCGCGTTGCCAGATCGCACCTCCAAGGGCATCGGGGTCTTCAACGCGGCCCCCGCATACGAGCCTCTCCCAGGCTTCACGCCGTGAGTCCATTGAGGTCGCCCTTGCGCCTGTCATTGTGCTGACCGATGCATCAGGCCTGAAGGCAACCTTCGCTGCAAATGCTACTCGCCTGACAGCAGGTACTTTGCCTGGGCGTCGCCCGAACAGTAAGGCTCCTGCTTCACCCCAAACCAAAACACTCCCGCTGACACAATCGTGACAGGGTATCGGTCATAGACGCCTCGAACGGCAACCTTATCTCGACCGTCCCTGCAGTCAACGTCTTCCAGCTCGGTTTCTCGCCATTGGGCACCTACATCATCACATGGCAGCTGCCTTCGAAGGATGAAGACGGCAATGCCAAGAAGAATTTGAAGGTCTGGAAGACCCTGCCCGATGAGTCCGAGGGCACCGAGCGCACAGTGGTTGGCGAATACGTCCAGAAGTCTCAGACTGGCTGGAACCTGCAATACTCGCCCGACGAGAAGTTCTGCGCACGCACCGTCACCAACGAGGTGCAGTTCTTCCAGTCTGAAGATCTCCGCAACCCCTGGAACAAGCTGCGCGAGGAGGGAGTGACAGACTTCGCCCTGTCGCCCGGAAAGAACCATTCAGTTGCCGTCTTTGTTCCGGAGCGCAAGGTACGTTCGAATTCCGGTAGCCATGAGACATACACTAACACGAAACGCAGGGTATGCCCGCCGCAGTCAAGGTCTTTCAGGTCCCTCAATTCAACTCGCCCGTGTCGCAAAAGACTTTCTTCAAGAGCGACAAGGTCCAGCTGAAGTGGAACGATCTGGGTACGAGCGTGATCGTATTGGCTCAGACCGACGTCGACAAGACCAACAAGAGCTACTATGGCGAGACGAACATGTACATCCTTAGTGCCAACGGCTCCTTCGACTCCCGCATCCAGCTTGACAAGGAGGGTCCGATCCACGATGTTTCATGGTCGCCAAACTCGAAAGAGTTCGGTGTCGTATACGGTTACATGCCTGCGAAGACCACCATCTTCAATGCTCGTGCTGTTGCTCAACACAGCTTCGATCTGGGCCCGAGGAACACCATCAGTTTCTCACCGCACGGTCGTTTCGTGTATGTTGCTGGTTTCGGCAATCTGGCTGGAGACATGGACATTTACGATCTGGAGAGGAACTACCACAAGGTTACGACCATCAAGGCCGCCAACTGCACTTACTGCGAGTGGAGCCCCGATGGCAGACACATTCTTACAGCGACTACTAGCCCGCGTCTTCGTGTCGACAACGGCATTCGTATTTACCATGTCACTGGACCTCTTATGTACAACCAGGATTTGACTGAGTTGTACCACGTTACTTGGCGCCCGCAATCGCCTCAGCAGCACTCGTTGGATAACGTGCTGACTGCACCTGCGCCTCACCCATCAGCGGCCGCGTTCACAAGCACCCAGAAGACTCCCTCGAAGCCTGCCGGTGCTTACCGCCCTCCTGGTGCAAGAGGAACTGCCACCCCCCTCCTCTTCAAGCGCGAAGACGAGGGTGGTGCAGCTTACACCAACACCGGAGTATCTTCGACCAACGTTGGGTTCCAAAACGGCTTTGGCAGAGGCGGCCGCCGTCCGGTGCCTGGTGCCGAGCCTGCCGCGAACCTGCCGCCTGGTGCTGCGCCTGGGGGCGGTGTCAGCCTCTCCGGCACTGGAGAAGGCGAAGAGCTATCGAAAGCAGCTCAGAAGAACAAAAAGAAGCGGGAAGCGAAGAAGGCTCGCGAGGCTGCCGATAAGGCCGCTGGTCTGACTGCCGATGCACCCACTGGACCAGCTGGTCGAAGCCCTGAACGTCGTGAGAACCGCGATGGCCGTCAGCGCAGCCACAGTAAGAACGGAGGCTACGCGAACGGCAGGAGCCCTAGTCAGCAGCGTGCATACGGCAACAGCCCTGATCGCCGTGCTCGACCTCAAGATGGCCAGCAGCGCCAAAGCTATGGTCAGCAGCAACAGCAGCAGCGTGGTCAGGATGCCCGGGCTCCTCCTCCAGTCCAGACTGCGAATGCCCCTGCTCCCGATCTTACTGTCACTAGCCCTGGCGACGGTGGCAACCCTCAGGACAAGAAGATTCGTGGCCTGCTGAAGAAAGTTCGCGCTATCGACGAGCTCAAGATGAGGCAGGCCGGCGGAGAGAAGCTCGAGGATACTCAGATTAAGAAGATTGGTACCGAAGAGTCCATCCGCAAGGAGCTCAGTGCGCTTGGATTCCAAGGTTAGCACCTCTTGGGTCTGAAACCTGACTGGGCTACCATTGAACGGACCTACATGAGATCAAGGGGATCTTCAGCTTAAGCTCCAGGCATGTCAAAGTGCTTTGTGTAGTCCTTGTGGGTATGGACACTTTGCATCGCCATGTTGCATTGTTCAAGGGCATAGTATCACGACTTTTGACGTTGTGATCCGAACGGACGGCAGATTGGATGTAGTACAAAAGTAGACGGTAGACAGTAGTGGTGACTACCAACAAAAGCATAAAATCATTCTTCATTACATCGTTTAGCTATCTCTTCTTCACGCTCCATATGAGAACTTTTTCAGGTCCGAGGCAACATCCCTGACTGCGTCCTTTGCCTCGTCACTCCAAGCCGTCATTTGCAACCATCCGTGTGTCAAACCATCATAGTGCCGCCAGACGATCTCGTTACCAGCTTTCTTGGACTTGTGCGCATACTCAACGCCCACGTCCCTCAACGGATCGAACCCAGAAGTGTAGATACTAGCTGGACACTGTCCTTTCAAGTACTCGACCTCTTGCATACCAGGCGAAATGTACTTGTGACTTGGCGGAGTGCCTCTTGGTAGATAGTGGTCTGCAAACGAGAATATGCCATTGCACTCCAGGTAGTAGCCTGAGTTGTTCTCGGCAGCTGCTGGT